GGAACTGCAAGCGAGATCCAGTCTCAAAAAGACAAAAAATAAAAAATAAAAATAAAATTAGGGACTTCTGGCAGGGTTTTTGGCCAACACCTGTAATTCCAGCACCCAGAGAGGCTGAGGCAGGAAGAGCGCATGCATAATCGAAACCAGCCTGGTCTTGTCAGTGATGTAACAAGACCCTGATTGAAAACAAAAGGGCTGGAGATATAGCTCAGTGGGAATACCCTGAGTTCAGTAACCAGTACCACATACACACTCACAATCTACCACACAAAATAAGGACTTTCTTCCATGCCCCCCTCCTGCCTGTGGCCTCTGGCTAGGTCATTTGAGAATGTAACTCATCCTCATGTTGATAAACCGATTGGTGATCAGGGCACCAGGCTGTCTCAATGGCATATGAAGAAGGAAACAGAGAAAAACGTTTAAAACGCCTTAACTCTGGGCCGGTGGTATAGCTCAGCGGCAGCAGCGTGAGGTCCTGACTTTGATTCCCGGTACTCACACAAAAATAAAAAATGAAATAAATAAAATGCTTTAACTAGTGTCCAGAATGTCACATTTTCCCTTATAAAGGGTCTGGATGTCAGGGCTAAGGCACTGATCCTCCCAAGTTGTTTTCCTTCTTTTGTTTTTTTTTGAGACAGGGCCTCACTATATGGCCCAGACTGGCTTGGAACTCGCTGTGATCCTCCTGTCACAGCCTCCCAAGTGCTGGGATTACAGGCGTGCGCCATCACACTCGGCTTTTTTCTTTTGTTGTTGTGCTGGGACTCAAACCCAGTGCCTCTTGCATGCTAGTCAAGTGTCTTGCTGCTGAACTACACCCCAGTCCCTCCTTTCTAAGTCTTAATGAACCAAAATTTCAACTGAAATAGATTCAGTGGTACTGCTGGCCATAAGGGTGGTGTACAATCGATACTGGGCTGGAGGGTCACATACAAGGGCTGTGAAGTCATCCTCAGGGACAGGAGAGCCCCACGCTGAGTCCTGAGCAGAAACTTGAATTCTCTCCCCAGCCTTGCTGCCCTCCCACTCCCACCCTGTAGGTTTCTGTGCAGCAGGTACAACTCAATAAAGTTCTTTGTTCCACAGGTGGCCCGGCTCAGGTAACCAGGCAGATGGCCCATTTCCATGGGCTTTTCTACAGTAGCTCAGGATTATCAGGAAGCCAGCCCTGACCTTGGAAGACCTCTGAGAGCCCAGGACTCACCAGCAAAAAAGGGTAGTATATTAGTGTCTTGTGACTGCAGTAAGTCACCAGCCGATGGCTGAAGACAACAGAAATTTGTTCTCTCACAGTTCTGGAGGCCAGAAATCCACAATCAAGGCATTGGTAGGGCATCAGTCCCTCTGCAGGACTGAGGAAGGATCCTTCCTTGCCTCTCTCAAGCTTTTGGCTGCTCCAGGCCTTTCTTGGCTTGTGGCCACATCAGTCCAGTCTGTCTCCTTCACAGGCTTTTCTACTGTGCCTGTCTCACAACTCCATTTTTCTTTTCTTAGGCAAGCCCTTGGCCACTGAGCTACACCCACAGCCCTTTATTTTTTATTATGAGATAGGGTTTCACTAAGTTGCCCTGGCTGTCTGAAACTCCCCAGCCTCCTGCATAGCTGGGTTCAAGGCATATACCACCACACCTGCCTGTTTTTCTCCTACAAGAATTATAGTCAGCTAAGAAATATAGGCAGTCAGACAGGGCTAGGCCCTCAGAGTCAGTGCAGAACACATTACAACTGTGGCTGGAGGCGCATCTGTCAAAGGCCAGGCCCCAAGATAAAAGACGCAACGACCAGGCCTACATGCCTCCCCGAGGGGTAAGCAATAAATTAAAGATTATACTACAGTTGATATCACCTGGTCCAATAAAGTCTAGATAGACATCAGTCACCCAGGTGGGTGGCCAGGACCTCCTGATCCATCCCTTCCTAAAAAGGTTTCTGGGGCTGGGGATTTAGCTCAGTGGCACAGCGCCTGCCTGGCAAGCGCAAGGTCATGAGTTCGATTCCCGGTACTGGAAAAAACAAAACTAAACTAAAAAGGTGTTTCTTTTTTGCATGTATACTTGCTATGTGACTTGCATTCCCATTGGATCAATATTACCTAAGTGACTATACTTATAATCTTACTGGTTAATCATAGTTTTGACCCGTATTGTACCCATTTCATGATTTTGCTCTCTAAAACTTCCTCGGAGAAGTAGGGTGTATGCCAACCCACTTTTGGGTCCCCTCCTGTCTCTCAGGAGCTATATCTTTTTTTTTTTTTTCAGGAGCTATATCTCTCATTAAATTTTTCCTGCTTTTACCTACTCTCTTATTCCTTAGGATTCATTTTTCAATTTTTTGTAACATGAACCCTGTGTATCTGACATCTAGCAGGTTGTTACATTGTTTCCCCTCTGTCACAAGGACATCTGTCATTGGTTGTAGACCTGGCAACCCAAATTGATCATATCTTGAGATCCTTTATTTAGTAGCATTTGCAAAGAGCCCTTTATCAGATAAGGCCCCAGGTTCCACTTATCATTTATCGGGCCAGCATCTGATCCATACAAGCAGTGTCCTCTATCCTGTGGGCTTACTCACCTCCCTTGCTGTCTTCCCAGAACTGAGCCCTGTCCCTGACCTGGGTAATTGGGTGACCCTGGAGCCCTTGGGCAGGAGCTAATAAACACTAGACTTAAATATGGCTCTTACTGGCATAGGAAGGGACTCTCTTTCCCCTTTTCCGATGATGGCTGAAGTTTCCACCTGTTGGCTTGCTGTTCCCCATCCCCCTACAAGTTGCACAACTGCAGTCTGCTAAGAAGTGAAGAGTAAACAAGAGGGACAATGAATGCATCCTCTCAAAGACAGCACTAATCAGCGGGCCCCACCCTCAGAATTTGGGGGCCGGAAGTGCTGCTGGTTGAAAGCTGAAGATCACAGCCGATAATAAAGTTAATTGTTACCCAGTCAGTAGTGTCTGTTGTGGTTTACAAGTGAAACTTCTCTTACACCCTTGACCAAGTAATGATCCCCAAAGTGTGGATTCGTACCCCAGAAAGTATAGGGGACAGCCCTGGAGGTAGATAGCTGGCCCAGAGACACCTGTGGTTGGGCAGTTGTGACTTGCCCAGAGAGGCCCAGGAGGGAGTCCAGCCTGCAACCTCAAGGGCAAAGGGCACCAGGGACGCAAATGTGAGAGTGAAGGAGAGGGAGGAGGGTAATCAGGTGCTGATAACCTCCCCACCAAGGAATGGCAGCTCCAGAAGAATGGGTGGTTCCGGGAGGCTCAGCAGGGGAGAAGCTCAGCCTTGCTGCCTGCTGGAAATAGGGTTCCTGAGGGCTGAGTAACCAGGTAGGGACCCAGCTGGAAGTCAGGGTCAGGATTTTGGCAGGCTGGACCTCCTTGTGTACACTTGGCCAAGCTCCCTTAGTACTGTGGGTATGATGGAAGCCAGGAGCTCTTGAAAAGTATAAGGCTTCTAAGTCTCATCCGCACCTTTGACAGGCTGGGGACCCTGAGGCGCCGGCTTCCCTTGTGAAATTGGGCCCTTGGGCTCCTCTGGGGGTAAAAAGTGCTATCTTCCTCAGGGATCCAATTGTGTACCCCCGTATCTTATATAGTAGTTCCTCTTCCCGATTGTAAACCACACCTTTCCCCTCTAAATGGAGTGAGGTAACTTCCAAACCTCTTAATCTAAGCATCCCAGCCCTCCCTTCTCCCAGAGAAGACAAAGTCATTTTGTCCTTTTCGGTATGGACTAAGAAAACGTTCTGCTGGCCCACCCCACCCTACCCCAGTTTCTTCTCAGGGTAGTGCTTTGAGCAGGGTTCCCCTCCCCCACCTATCTCCCTACCTAACAGGTGGGAGTGGAGATTCCCAGGGACTTGTTAAAGTGCCATTGAGATGGTAACCAAGCCAACCAGGCCCCACCTGTCCGTATCAATGGCATTCCAGTCCCTTTCAGTTCCAGTTTAGGTCCCAATTTTAACTCTTTGATACCCAAGATCCAAATCCAGGTGGACCAGGGGAACCTTGGAGAACGTCTGGGGCCTCCCAGCCTGAGACACATTTTCACTTCAGTTCTCCCCCAGGCCTCAGCGATTGGTGCTTTGTTTTATCAGAGGAAAAAGCCAGGTAAGGCAGCACACATCTGTAATCCCAGTACTCTGGAAGGCTGAGGCAGGAGGATTGAAATTTAGTGATTTAGGAGACCTTGTCTCAAAATTTTAAATAAAGGGCCGGGGCTGTAGTTCAGTGTAAAGGTCCTGCATTCAATCCTCGGTACCCATCCCTCCCAACCCTTGCCCTGAAAAAAGAGAAAGTGTAGGAGATGCTTGTGCCACAGAAGAGCAAGTTCAGTAGGGATTTCTTACAAGGAGGCACCCATGTCCTCTGGGCCTCTGTCTCATTTGTGGCTGGCTGGTCCCTAGCAGTGTGGGCACTCTTGTTTTGCTGCATCATAGAGGGTCTGAAATGTGCACACCGTCCCCACCTGTTTACAGTACTGGGGAAACTGGGGAGCACTGAGGCAAGACCTGACTACAGGTTGACCAACTGTCCCACTCACTATTCAAAACCAGGAACGTCTCAGGTTAAGTGGGGAGTGTTGGGCCCCCAAGACCCAAGGAAAAAGAGGGCTTCAGCTGAGTCCCGGGAAGAGACAAGGGCCTCTGCTGAGGCCCAGTGAGGGGGTGCTTTCAGAGACCCGAGTTTGTGCTGCCAACTGACACCTGCCCAAACCTGTGTGGCTGGATTCCTGGCAGCCCCTGGAAGGCAACAGAGGGAGCCCCCTCCAAGACTGGTTTCTATTTGCTCTTCTTTGCAATCATCCCCTCGCCCCCATCCTGTGAAATCTAAACCACAGGGATCTTGATTTGGACACCACCGGAGAGCTAAACTGGCCAGTACTGTCAACCCTCATCTCCACCCTGCCACTGTGAAGGCACCCCCACTTCCTCTGGCCTCACTGGGGCCACCAGACCAGCCCTACTGTGGGAGCAGCCTCTCCCTGTGAGGAGATGGGGAATGCCCTATCCAGCTCATTTTGGAGACCTGCTGAATGGTGAAGCTTCAATACTGATTTTTTGTTTGTTTGTTTGTTTGTTTGTTTGTTTGTTGAGACAGGGTCTCACTATGCAGTTCAGGCTGGTCTTGAACTCACTTTGTAGCCCAGGCTGGCTTCAAACTCTCAGCAATCCTCCTGCCTCAGCCTCCCGAGTGCTGGGAGTAGAGGTGTGTGCCACCATGCTCAGCAATATTGATTTTTTTTGGTCTGGGGAAGATGTCAAGCTTTGTGGAGTCATAGAACCCTTTGCCAATCTGATGAAAACACAAGCATCTCTTCCAAAAATACTAAAGTGATACTTGAGCGCCTGTTTTTTTTGTTTTGTTTTGTTTTGTTTTGTTTTGTTTGTACCGATAATTGCACTCGAGTTCTAATTCCAAACAACTCTTTTTTCATCAGCAATGCTAGGGATTGAACTCAGGGCCTTTGTATTGAGCTACATCACTAACCCCCCCTTTTATTTTTGGTACTGGGAATCGAACTCGGGACTTTGCACTTGCTAAGCAGGTGCTTGTGCCACTGAGATATATCCCCAGCCTAAATATTTAGTTTTTGGTATAGAACCTAGATTTTTTTTTTTTTTTTGGTACCAGGAATCAAACTCAGGACCTTGTGCTTGCCAGGTAGGCACTTAAGCCACTGAGCTATATCCCTGGCCCTCACTAACCCTTTTTATATGTATATTTGTTTATTTGAGACAGGGTCTCATTATGTAGCCCAGGCTGGCCTTGAACACCTGGAGATCCTCCTGCCTTAGTCTCCCATGTATTGTGATTAGAAGCATGAAGCACTATGCCCAGGTTTATATTTTTATTTTTTGAAACATGGTCTTGCTTAGTCATTAAATTTCTCAGGCTGTCTGGGCATTGTGGTGCACATTATAATCCCAGCACTCGGGAGGCTGAGGCAGGAGGATCGTTTTGAGTTCGAGACCAGCCTGGGCTACATGGTGAGTTTAAGGCCAGCCTGAACTACATAGTGAAACTCAGTCTCAATCAATGTATTTCCCAGGCTGGGCTCAAACTTGCAATCCTCCTGCCTCAGCTTCTCAGAGTGCTGCATTATAAACATGTACCATCTTGTCTGCCTCAATTCTGAACAATTCTTGAAGTTAGAATGCTTTATAATAGTCCCACAGAACATCAAGTAGGGATGGAGCTAAGCTCTCCCCAGCCAGGGGGGACACCTCCCACCTCTGTCTCCACTGGGGCATCTGGTGCCAGGGTCGGCTCCAGTTCCACCCCCAGCTCTCCTTTCCTTAGAGGAGGTGTGGAGGTAAGAGGCTGTCCTGATGCGGGCCTACTCTGGCTTCCAGGATCCTCATAACCCCCGGGAAAGTATGTGAATGGGAGGGCTTTTCCTCGGGAGTTCTTAGTGTCCTCAGGAGTTCTTCGCTCCCAGAGATGGTTGGGAAGCTGTGACCCTCCCAGAATGAGGGGCACATGTGTTGTGGAAATGTGTTCCCATGGAGAATGTGGGGCCTTTGACATTTCTCAAGTGGGTCTTTGACCCAAGAAGATTAAGGAACATTACCTGCATGATCTGTGTGAGTCCCAGGCTGCCCTCCACAGAGGGAGCCACGGGTACCGAGGGGGCCGCTCCTGTGTTGGAAGCCGAGCTCCAGGACACCTGAGTGCCCCTGGCCTCGATCCCTGCCCTCTTCCATGGTGTTGGATTGGAGGGCCACTCTTGCACCGTAGGGGAGAGAACAGGGTTCTGGGCCCATCCCTTCTCCCACTGTCCCCCTTTTTTGTATTTTTATTTATTTATTTTTGAGTGTCCCCCTTTTTTGGCCTGGGCCCTGTGTGTCCCTCCACTTCAACAACAGGCTCTTTATCCACAAGCCTCTAGAGACCTTCAGCAGCTCTGCCTAGCCCCCTAGTTTCGGCAGCACGGTGTGGGGAAGGCACATCAGAGCTGAGGTAGAAGTAGGGGGGTAGTTTTCTAGGCCGTTGCCAAGGTAATGTCACCTGAGTTGGGCCCAGGCACCTGTTGCCTGGGGAACTGTGCGGGCGGGGCCCTTCCCCTGGGAGCCACCTGGGCCACAGCGCTGAGCCAGGAGACGGATCAGATTCCAGAGAGTGCTGGAGGGGCGGGGGGGACGGGGGGACCAGTCGATACTGTGGGGAGACAGGGCACATTTGCATCATGAAATGGGGCAGGGGAATGGCAAAGGCCACGGAAGGGTCAGTCTCAGGCTGAACCCTCTTCTACCCTATCTCCAGCCAGTCACATCCCCCACCCCAGCTTGTTCTCAGTCTCCTCATTCCTTTGTCCCTGGGTTCCCACACGCAAGGATGTTTGTCCTCCCTGGGTCCCACCTGCTGTCAGTACCGCCCACCACTGACCCCCCCATCCCACCCTCTCTCACACACCCCCTCCTTGCTGCGGCCCAATCCTGGCCTTCCGCTGCTTCCTCCGCTCCTCCCCTGCCCGGGCCTTAAAACCCTGCCTGCAGCTGCAGCTGCAGCCTACAGAGGCCCCAGGCGACACCGCAGGAGGTTCTCTGCTCAGAGGTTTCACTGCAGCGCCAGCCAGCAGGGACCAGGGCTCTCTGCCGGTCTGGAGAAACCTTTTGAGCTGGGCCCAGATGTGACTGCAGGGTGATCAAAAGGTGACAGCTCCCACCAGACACAAGTCACTCAGCTGAGTAGGACCAAGAAACAGGTTTGTGGTGAGTGAGCAGCAGACACCAACCTGAGAGGCCCACACCTGTGAAGACTCTTCTGGTCAGAGGACAACGGATACCCTTCCTCCTGGGCACCCCCATCCCACACGTCTGACCCGCTGCTGAACCTACCCAGCTGCCTGAGGCTGAGAAGACTGAACTGAAGGGCGGATGGCTTCAACCGGCCTTGAACTCCTGGGCATGACTCTGGCCGTGCTGGGCTGGCTGGGGACCCTGGTATCCTGTGCCCTGCCCCTGTGGAAGGTGACTGCTTTTATCGGCAACAGCATTGTGGTGGCCCAGGTGGTGTGGGAAGGGCTGTGGATGTCCTGTGTGGTGCAGAGCACGGGCCAGATGCAGTGCAAGGTGTACGACTCCCTGCTGGCGCTGCCCCAGGACCTGCAGGCTGCCCGAGCCCTCTGCGTCGTAGCCCTCCTGCTGGCCCTGCTGGGCCTACTGGTGGCCATCACAGGCGCCCAGTGTACCACATGTGTGGAGGATGAGGGCGCCAAGGCCCGCATTGTGCTCACCGCAGGGGTCCTCCTTCTCCTCTCAGGCATCCTGGTGCTCATCCCCGTCTGCTGGACAGCCCACGGCATCATCCAGGACTTCTACAACCCACTGGTGGCTGAGGCCCTCAAGCGGGAGCTGGGGGCCTCTCTCTACCTGGGCTGGGCAGCAGCTGCACTACTCATGCTGGGTGGGGGGCTCCTCTGCTGCACATGCCCCCCACCCCAGATTGAGCGCCCCCGTGGTCCGAGGCTGGGCTATTCCATCCCCTCCCGCTCTGGTGCATCTGGGCTGGACAAGAGGGACTATGTATGAAGCAGGGGACTTCTCAGGAGCATCTGAGCTTTGGCTTCTACTTTTGTCTTCTACCGCTGCCCACTCCCCAGGAAAGCCATTCTTATAAAGCTCAGATAACTTGGCTCCAGGATCAGTCTCAGCCAGCCTAGCTGAACCAACCCTCAGTGGTCCCCACCTCATAGAACCAGGGCCAAAGCCCCCTCCTTCCCTCTATAATTATTCTCTTCTGCTGTCCAGGACATGAGCCTTCCCCTTCCCCAAGGAACCTGGGGTCCACCCAAAGGGTAGCAGCTCCTTGCCTCCAAAATAAGGAGCCAAACCTGTCCTGGAGCTCATCCATTCTGGCCCAGCCAATACTTGTATCTAAGAAACCTGGGGCCAGGCCCTTTGGGAGTAGTCAGCCCACATTCCCTACCTTCTGTGATCAGAATAAAAAGAGAACGTGTAATTGGGCTTCCTCTGTTTGAGTTTTGTTTTGAGACATAGTTTCACTGTGTAGCTCAAGCTGGCCTTAAACTCACTATGTAGCCCTGGCGAGCCTATCCCTCACAGCAATCCTCCTACCTCTGTCTCCAGAGTACTGGGATTACAAGTGCACCTCACCTTGCCCAGCTGGGCTTCCCGGTTTGTGCTGAAGATCCCTGAGCAGCCAGGCCAATGCCTGGTTTAGGTCCTACCCTGGGGCAACCTCTTTTGGCCATGGGGTCTGAGCCAGGAGGGAACAGGGACAAGGGATGATGATGATGGACTTGCACACACATTCTCCTCTAGCCAGACTGGGCACTGATCAGCTCCTAGCGACAGCAAAGACATATTAACAAAACATGTTTTATTGTGTGAGCAGAGCATAGGCAGAAGTGGGCAGGGTTAGAGGTGCTCATGGGGGTCTACAGCACAGCTGGGGCCTGACTTGAGAAGGATACATGGCGGCTGGAGACAAGAGCCACAGGTTAGAAGACCTGGGGTGGGCAGTTTTCTGGTAACTCAATTATCAGTCCTTCCAGGAATGGGTCTGACTGATCCCACCCCCAGCAGCAGTCGAAACTCTTGGTATAAGGCCATCTTGTGGTCACAAAGGCCAGAGCAGCAGCAGCCTTGGCATTGGTACCATAGCTCCAGTTTGACTTCTAAGATGGTTATGCTATGAATGAAAAAATATCCCGGAGATCAAACCATTGCTTCTTTGGCTCTATCATCCAAAGATGAGAAATGCCAATGTCAGAGCCCAGGTGGGAGTGTGAATCATCTTGGTTCCATTATCAAATGGATTTAAAGACCACCTCTCCCATAAAAACAGCAAAAAGCAAAAGCAAAATAAGCACCAACTCTAAAGGTGTCAAGCGTCATCATCTCAGCTCAGGGGCCAAGACCAAAGGAGCCCTCATCCCCCTTCCCCATCAAACATAATTCTTGGTGGGGTACTCAGAGGGCCCCCGAGAGGGGGAATGTGGGGCAGATGCTGTGTAGCGGGCCATGTAATGGCTGGAGCCCCGAGACCCTCCAGAGGGGCAGGTGTAGCACAGCAGCCCCCCACCTAGAAGCAAAAGGCCTGAGGCAGCCCAGCCCAGGTAGAGGGAGGCTCCCAGCTCCCGCTTTTGGGCCTCAGCCACTAAGGGATTGTAGAAGTCCTGGATGATGGTGTGGGCTGTCCAGCAGACCGGAATCAGAGTCAGCACCCCTGAGATGACAAAGATGATCCCAGAGGTGAGCACCAGGCGGGCCTTGGAATCCTTGTCCTCTACGCAGGTGGTACACTTCGCCCCAGCAAGGTAGACCAGCAGACCAAGCAGGGCCACAAGCAGGGTGATGACACAGAGGGCTCTTGCAGCTTGCAGGTCCTGGGGCAGCGCCAGCAGAGAGTCGTACACCTTGCACTGCATCTGGCCCGTGCTCTGCACCACACAGGACATCCACAGCCCTTCCCACACCACCTGGGCCACCACAATGCTGTTGCCGATAAAAGCAGTCACCTTCCACATGGGCAGGGTGCAGGATACCAGAGCTTTCATCCAGCCCAGCAATGTCAGGACAAGCCCCAGTATTTGCAGACCACCAGAGGCCATGGCAAAGCTGATGAGTCTGTATTGAGTGGGTGGACAGAAGCAAAAAAATATTAAAAAGTTAACTGGTCTAGGCCCCAAGCCACGAGCCATGTGACCCCACACAGGCCACCAATAACATATACTCCAGGAGTTGGTCACTGTATCCTGTAATGGGGGCAGCATATACTCCCTAAGCCTCATTTTCTTATATGCAGAATAAGCACTTACTGTGTCCCTAGTTATGTGATAGCCTCTGGCAGATAATCCTAACTGTGTTGGGTGCAAATGACAGGCAAGATGATAAAGCCAATGGGGGTCCATGGCCTTTACCACTTCTAAGTGCATTTTATCATGCAACAAAGTGCCAAAAAGAGGGATGGAGCTGGGCGTGATGCAGCACCCTTGTAATCCCAGCACTCGGGGGAGCGGGAGGCTGAGGCGGGAGGACTGCTGTGAGTTTGAGACCAGCCTGGGCTACAAAGTGAGCTCAAGGCCAGCCTGAACTGCATAGCGAGACCCTGTCTCAAAAAGACAAAAAAAAAAAAAAAAAAAAAAAAAAAAGAGGGATGGAAATACTACAATTTCCACATGCCCTGGCTCTAGCATGTTTCAGGCTCAAAACCGCATTCTCAGGGCTGAGGATGTAGTTCAGTGGTCAAAGACTTGTCTAGCACCCTCGGAGTCCCCTCCAAGTCCTGAGTTTCAATTGCCAGCACTGGCACCCCCCAAAAAAATCTTTTTTCCCACCACCCAAGGTCCAAACCCCTTGAACTAATCTGTTCATATCCGGATGATACTATCCTTGTCTTGTGTCCCAAGCCTGGCCTTCCACCACTCTCCAAAAGCTATCTCCTCCTAAGGTGGGTAGCCCGCCTGGCCCTGGAGGGGCAGGAGAGACTGGAGAGAGGGGCAAACAAAACTTCTCTCATCCAGACTCCTTCCCCTAGAACACCGGCTGACTCCCTGGTCCACTCTTCAGCATTCTCCTGGGGGCCACGGTGCACATTTGTCCAAGTGTGGGGCCATTGTCCTGTTTTAGACCAAAGGCCATGCTAGGGATCCTCTCAGGATACAACTTTCCTAGCACTGTCCAGTCCCTCACCACCACCCTCGCTGCACCCGTTTTCAAGGCCCTCTTTGAATGGGGTGCACTACAAGGACCACGCCCGCCCTGCTCAAGGCCTGCTGTGGCTCCCCATTACACAAAGTTCTGGACACGCCGCTTGGACCTGCTTGTAGCTCCTTCCTCGGCAGCTCAGCCACAGACCCAAGTTTCGATCCCCTTCTCACTTGAAGTTCATCCTAGGAGGCGGAGCTCAGGACCTCCAAGGAGATCCCCGTCTGCGGGCGGCCCTGTCCCAGCTTCCTTCCCTTTGTACACCCTGAGGGGTCAACTACCCCTCCCCTCCGCACAGTCACCTCAGGCTGGGCCAGGCGGGTGGGTCCGCTTCTGCAGGTGAGGGGGAGGGGAGTCCCACCCCAGAGAGGCAAGGTAGGTGGGGGAGGGGCGTGCAAAGTTTTGGAGTCTTTGTCCTGGGAAGGGGAAGGGGAGGGGCATTTAAGACTTGAAGAGCTGCCGAAGGACCCGACCACCTGCGGGTTCTGTGTGGCCCCCTGCCCAGCCCGACTCAGCTGGCTGCCTCCAGGAGCGCCACTCAGGTTCTCCATGGGCGCCTCCACCCACGCCGCTACGATCCCCGCATCCGGCCCCGAGAAGGTCTCTCCTGACCCCCAACACACACACTTGCTCAAGACTCACCTGAGGAAAAGACCAAAGAGATTCGCAGGCCGAGTGAGGGGAGAGGGGTGGAGGCGGGGGTCTTAAAGGGGCGCTGACGTCACTGTTCCACCTCCCCCGGGGAGGGGCAGAGACCCCGGCCCCCACCGCACGGGCGCGCGCATCGCAGCTTGGTCAGGGCAGTGGGGGCGCTCGCGACCACGGAGGCTGCACCTGTCACGCGCTGGGCTGCGCGCACCTCGGCTGGCGGCGTCGCGGCCGCCACTTACTAACTAGCTTTGAGACCTCGGAGACTAAATCTTCCGGAGCCTCAGTTCTCTACTCCGCAAAAGAACGACAAGCCTGCATTTTACTGTGTACTTCCTAAGGTACAAATTAAAGAGCATGTTTTCTGTTGTTACTATTATACCCCCAGATCTCTTAAGAAACCTGCAACTGAGCCAGGCATAGTGGCGCACGCCTGTAATCCCAACATTCGGAAGATTGAGGCCGGAGGATTGTCCTGAGTTCGAGGCCGGCCTGGGCTACTACATAGGGATTTCAAGGCCACTCAGCGAGACCCTGTCTCAAACCAAACCAAACCCTACACTCAAAAAACCCAGAACAAACAAAACAAAAACCCGCAATTAGACCATGCACAGTGGCACAGCTTGTAATCTCAGGACTCAGGAGGTTGAGGCCGGAGGATCACAAACTTGAGTCCAGCCTGGGCAATACAGTGATTCAGCAAGACTCTGTCTCAAAAATAACAAGTCAAAAGACTGAAATGTAAACCAGGCGTGGTGGCACACGCACGCCTGTAATCCCAGCACTTGGAAGGCTGAGGCAGAGGGCTTGCCACAAGTTCGAGACCAGCCTGGGCTACATAGTGAGTTTAAGGCCAGCCTGAACTACATAGCAAGACCCTGTCTCCTAAAAAAAAAGAAAAAAGAAAAAAAAGACTGGGATGTAGCTCAGCTCAAAGGCTCTGGGTTTATTCCCCAGTATCAGAAAAAGAAAAGAAACACAAAAGAAACCTGCAGTTATCTCTACAGGGGTTGCTCTGTATCGGACCCTCCTATTCCACATCCTCCGAACGTGAGTTGGGAGAGGCAGGTCCAGGTCCAAGTTCCTGCAGTCTGCAAAGCTCCCGCTCGGACCTCGTATTGGTCCAATGAGCGGACGTAGCGGGCCCTTCGGGGCGGGGCGTCCCGCGCGGCTGGGGTGAGGGCTCCGCCCCGGAAGGCGGGGGCGGGGGCGGAGCCTCGGCCCCGCTAGCGGGCCATTGAGCCCCGAGAGCAGACAGCGGCGGCCGCGGGACACGCACCATGGCTCTGGACTGGGTGTGCTGGCTGCTGAGGCTCCTCGTGCTAGGGCTTGTGCTGGCATGGCCGCGCGCCGCGGCTGGGGAGCAGGCGCCAGGTACATGGGGCGCGGGGGTCGAGGGACCCAGGGCCAGGGATCTGACCCAGGACTGGGTGGGTGGACGTGAGGTGTGGGTCCTGTGTCTCCGGACGGGGAGCTTCCCGCTCCGGGGTTCGATCTCTTCCCACTCCGGGGTTCGATCGCAGTCCGGACTTCATTTTTTCTCTTTGTCCAGTCTGGGTGTGGAGGGCTGCGGTCCCAAACGCCCGTACCACTAGAGAAGAGAGAAAGTAAGTTTGGGGCAGGATGTTTGGTTTGGTGAGGGGGCACGCCCCCCGCCTGGTCTTTACGGCTTTCTGGCTTTCTGGCTCACCCCAGTGAGGGAAGAGTGGGGGGTCCCGAGAGTCATGGGGTCTGTGCCCTCTCTACCAGTGGGGTGCCCCCTGCCATCCGGTGACTTCAGTGCCCAGCTATGCGGGGGGAAGGGATCGGGGTCGGGCTGGGTGCCCAGGAGTGAGTCACACGCCGGCGGCGCGGGGGTTGTGGGGACCTGAACCCCCCCCACCAAAGTTCTGCGACACGCTACCCTCCCCCAGTACTACCGTGTCCGGGTCAGGCCGTGCGGTCACCTGTGAGGAATGCGGGGGGGGGGAGGGCGCCGGTGACTCACGTTATTCGAGCCGGCGGACCCTGACCTCAGCCCCCAGAATAGCCGCGCCCCTCCCCCAGTGTCTGACCCGCGGCCCCCTCCCCAGGCACCGCCCCCTGCTCTCGCGGCAGCTCGTGGAGCGCGGACCTGGACAAGTGCATGGACTGCGCGTCCTGCCCGGCGCGACCGCATAGCGACTTCTGCCTGGGCTGTGAGTGAGCAATGGGACAGTGGCAAATGGACCCTAGAGGAAGCGGAAGAGTTGCTGGGATGGAGAGGGGAGTAGATGGTTTTGGACCTGGAGAACTAATCAAAAGGAAACGAGAGTGCGGAGGGCTCAGAGTGGGAGCCACAGTGGGTTTGGGTTCGATGCTAGCGGGGGGGCGGGGGGGGCTGGACCTGCGAGGGTCGAGATCTGACTTGAGTCTCATTCCCAGGTGCTGCGGCCCCGCCTGCCCCTTTCCAGTTGCTTTGGCCTATCCTTGGGGGCGCCCTGAGCCTGGCCCTCGTGTTGGCGCTGCTTTCTGGCTTCCTGGTTTGGAGACGGTGCCGAAGGAGAGAGAAGTTTACCAGTCAGTGTCACTCCTACTTCCACCCTCCCATCACTCCTGCACATTTCTCCCGCTCATGACATCTCTCCCACATCTCTCTTGCAGCCCCCATAGAGGAGACCGGTGGAGAAGGGTGTCCAGGTGTGGCACTGATCCAGTGACTGAGTGCCCCCGCCAGCCGGGGCCTCACCTGCTCATGGTTCATTCATTCTTCTGGAGCCAGCCCCTGCTTCCCAGACAGCCAGAGCCAGAGCCAGGCCTCCTCCAGCCACAAGGGGGAAGAGAGTTGTGAATCACCTCTGAGGCTGCGACCAGGGTTCAGGGGAGGCTTCCAAGGTGTCTCATTGCCCTGTCTGGCTCCAGGACAGAAAGCAAGCCTCACGCCACTCACAGTAAGAAACTGCAGCATTTGCACAAGGGGGTCTCCCTGTCCCCTGATGCCTTGGAGGCCAGGCTGACTCAAGGGCCAGACATAACACTAGGCCCCACCCACTCAGATGGACTGAAATGGGGGGGAGGGCAGGGGTCAGCCTGGGGCACTTAGGGACCTGTTCTTAACACTAGAGGGCTGGCCTTCTAGGAGGGCTGGCCCTAAGATACAGGGGTAGGAGATATTTATTTTGGGGAGAAAGTTTGGAGGGGAGAATTTATTAATAAAGAATCTTTAACTTTAAATGGTTTGGAGTATGGCATGATCCCCAGTCTGACTCCTCAGAGCTGGAAGGAGGGAGTGAGTCAGTCTCCTGCTGCGGGGGTGGGGGTGAGGCTCTGACTCACACATTCTCAATGCCTGCAACCCAGCCTGCCAGGACCTGGCCAGCCCTGACCATTTTCCAGGGAAGATCTTGAAAAACCCCAGCATCCAGCACCCCACCCTCCTGAAAGGCCCCATGTTCCAGACAGGGTCTTCTATGTAGCCTTCAATTGCTAGGTAATCCTTATTCACTTTTGGAGAGGACACTTCCCTTCCCATGCTGATGTTCCTCCCATCCCAAGAGTTCACTGAGCCCAGTGTCCTCTGTGGTTAGGGGAAGGTGCTTGTGCCCAGGTGCCTGATGTAGAGGATAAGCAAGGACCCTGTCTCTTCGAACAGATTGTCAGTCTTTTTTAATTTTTTTCATTCATCTTTTTGAGACAGGGGCTTTGTTTTGTTTTGTTTTTTGGTGCCAGGGAGTCCAACGCAGGACCTAGGTAGGTGCTATATTTTATATCCCTGGCCCTGAGACAGGGTTTCACTATGCAGTTCAGGCTGGCCTTGAACTCACTTTGTAGCCCAGACTGGCCTCACACCTGCAGTCATCCTCCTGCCTCAGCCTCTCCAATGCTGGGATTACAGGTGTGCGCCACCATGCCCAGCTGAGGTTGGTCTTGTAGCAGGCAAGAAGGTGAGGAGAAGTCATTGTCCACCAAGGTTCAGAGCTTGATTATGTCCCCAGCTGAGGTTGCACCAAAGTGGGGGTTGGGGGTATCCCCTAACCTCAGCAGCCGGAGGGCCTCTGGGATCAGGTTTCCAGGGTATCGCCAGAGAAGCAATTCTGAGCAGGGGCTCCTGGAAGAGAAAAGGACAGTCAAGGCATGGGGCTGAAGGCTGGCCCAGCAGAATCACTTACTCCCAAATCCAGGTCTCAGGGAGTCAAGATGGGAAACAGCACAGAAGTTAGTTAGGAGCTAAAAATAGCACATGTGGGCCTGGGATATAGCTCAACAGCACAATACCTGCTCAGCAAGCTCCAGGTCTTGAGTTCGATTCCCAATACCAAAAGAAAAAAAAAAAACAACCCGGGGCTGGGGATTTAGCTCAGAGGCACAGTGCCTGTCTGGCAAGCGTGAGGTCGTGAGTTCAATTCCTGGTACCAGAAAACAACAGCAAACAAACAAACAAACAAAAAACCCACGATGGGGCAGGGCATGATGAGTGGCTGAGAGGAGCAGGTCTGATCCCTAGGAGGTCTGGCCAGTGGAAGTTGCCTACCTGAGTGGAGGCAGGGCAGGGGGGAAAGTCATGGAGGTGCTGCAGTAGGGGTGGTCATTATGTAGGCTGAGTCGGGAGAAGTGGATGGCCATGTTCTCCTCCAGCAGGAACTGCTTGTACAAAGGCTCCCTGGGGAGACACAGGAAGACACACATGGATATTGAGAGGAGGCTGAGAAGCCTTCCCTATCCCCAAACTCACGGCTCCTCAGAGAGGGGAGCTGGGAAAAAGAGCCAGGTGCACCCAACTCTCTTGGTTTTTCCTGAGGATCTGCCCTCCTGAGCCTGCAGCATCTGCCAGGAGCCACCAGCCCACTCTTAACTCAATGACACTTAAGCCATTCCGCTCTCTGGCCATCCAACAGCTTATCTCTGAAGGCTTTTTTTTTTTTTTGACCCGGTCTCACTATGCGGTATAGGCTGGCCTTGAGCTCACTGTGTAGCCCAGGCTGGTCTCGAACTCACAATAATCCTCCTGCCTCAGCCTCCCGAATGCTGGGATTACAGCGCCACCACACCCGACTTCTCAGAAGTCTTGGCCATAAACTAACTCCCAGCCTTAACCCTGCTTCAGCTCAAATGCAAGCCCTGCGGTTCACCTCACTGGGTGTCATCCAGCAGATCAGCCCTGTGTCCCCAGCTAAAGCTCCTGCGCCCCTCAGTGATGGTTACCCAGTGCCCCAAAACGCACCTGGTGTCCAGGTCCCGAGTCACCCCCGAGGTGGCCCGCAAGGCGAGACCTAGGGAGGCCCGCTCCAGAGGCTGCTGCAGGATCATTGGGGTTGGGGTCCCGCTGACAGAGGGGTGGGATCCAGGCAACAGGGGCGGAGCCTCGGGGCGTGGTCCAAACGAAAAGGGTGTGGCCTCACTGGCGCTGCGGCAGGGTTCTGCGCAGACGCGGAAGAGGAGCGGCGCGCGGCTCGAAGGCGGGTCTACTCGGCGGAGTGGGGGTGGGGATCCGGCGTAGCAGGAAAGCACGAGCGCCAGTTCTTAAGTACCCTCGGGGGCGTTCGCTACGCTCTGCTTAGTTCTTCAGGAGCTTGGCAGCACGAGAAGACCGCCCTCGCCGGATCCGCCGGCAATATCGAGGTACTAGCCGTCGCAAAGAGGAGCGGCTCCCTGACACGTCCGGCGTCGGGAGCTGCGTCACACGGGGGCACTCTGGGACTTGTAGTTCCTGAGATGGAACGTCCTGCGCCAGTCGCCGTGCCTCTGGGTCAGGTGAGCCGACCTGGGCGGTGCTTTCTGGGGTTTGCAGTCCCTGCTTGGCTTTGGCGGAATGGGCGCGGAATGGTGCGGGAGCACTGGTGGGCGGATGCGATCCGTGAGACTCAGGCTCCGTAGGGGGCGGCGGAGAATAAACAAGAGCCTCGGCCTAACTGAAAGTACAATGTAGAGGCTAGAGGTCAGTCGGTTTTTCTGTCCTGAAGTAATAAAGCCCTTAATTATTTCTAGCTTGAACGCAAGGGGCTCATGAATGTTAGGCAAACCCTCGATCGAGTTACATTTTTGCCCTCCACCTTAAATTTTGTTTTGTTTGGTTGAAACAGGGACTCGCTATGTAGTCTGGGCTGACCTTGAACTCACTGTGTAGCCCAGGCTGACCTCCAATTCGGGGTGATCCTGCTGCTTCCGCCTTCTGAGTGCTGGGATTACAAGCTTGCACGAACATGCCCGGCAAACCTCCCCTTTAAATTTCGAGACAGGGTCTGGCCAAATTGCTCAGGCTGGTCTTGAACTTCTGAATCGTCTGCCTCAGCCTCTCCAGTAGCTACTTTTTAAAAAAGAAAAGTGAAGGCACCGGGTGTGGTGGCACATGCCTCCACATCCCAGCATTTGAGAGGCTGAGACAAGAGAGAGGGTCGCTGCAAGTTCGAGATCAGCCTGGGGCTACATAGTGAGTTCAGGATTGCCCTGAACTACATAGGGAGACCCTGTCTCAAAAAACCCAAAATAAATAAAAAAGAAAATTGAAGCTAGGTGTGGTGGCACACAGTCATAATCCCAGCAATCTGGAGGCTGAGGCGGGACGTTTGCCAAGAGTTTGAGGCTCACTACATACCGAGACCCTGTCTCAAAAATAAATTAAAAGCATAAATAAATAAAAAAGAAAATTGATGCAATAATTGTACAGGAGCCTTCCCCCCCTTCCAATACTGGGGATTGAATCTAGAGCTTTCACACTGAGCTACCAGCCCTTTTATTTAGTATGTTGAGACAGGATCTCACTAAATCGCTAAAATCTGAGGATGCACTTAAATTTGTAATCCTCCTGCCTCAGCCTTCCAGACTGCTGGGATTATAGGCATGTGCCACCATGCCCTGCAAGAGCCACTTCTTAAGCATTTTCTATATGACAGCCCAAGACAAGGTTCTTTACATGAGCTTTGCACATTTGCTTGTCTGCCAGCTCATTTATTGTGACGGGATCTCCAGTGAATGCCATCTGGCTGTTGGGGAAACTGGTACAAGAGGTTTGGTGCTTGCTCTGCACTTCCTAGGTACCACACCCCAACTCTTCTTTCCTCACCACCTTCTTGGAGTCACTTCTGGGGCTGCATGGGCAAATGCCTTGTAGTGAGCACCTCAAAAGAGGGCTGAGAAGTCTGGGCCTGGCTGCGACTGGGGAGGCAGGGAGGATCCTGTGGACAGAGGCTTCATGCAGTCTCTCCCTACAGGCCGAGGTGTTTCAGGCCCTGCAGCGGCTGCACATGACCGTCTTCTCCCAGAGTGTCTCACCCTGTGGGAAGTTTCTGGCAGCTGGCAACAACTATGGGCAGATTGCCATCTTCAGGTACCCTCAGCCACTGCTCTCCACCATCTTGAGCCCTGGCACTTGGCCCTTCTGGGTCTGATGCCCCCTGCTTCTGACCCCTGGGCCCTCCTTGCCTCTCCCCTTCAGCTTGTCTGCTGCTTTGAGTTCAGAGGCCAAAGAAGAAAGCAAGAAGCCTGTGGTGACCTTCCAAGGTGGGTGTGGCTGTTGAGTATGGCTCAGGGGACTCCAGGGTGGGTGAGGCAGCTGGCAGGGTGGTTCTGCATTTTCCTAAGGTTCTGCATTTCTCTTTAGCCCATGATGGGCCTGTCTACAGCATGGTCTCCACGGATCGACACCTGCTCAGTGCAGGGGATGGAGAGGTGAAGGCCTGGCTTTGGGCAGAGATCCTCAAGAAGGTAAAAAATCTGGAGCCTGGGGAAGGGCTGCTGTGCCCCACCCAGAAAGAGCCTTTGTGGTCACCCAGTGTTTTCCCTTGTAAAGGGCTGTAAGGAAATGTGGCGTCGTCAGCCCCCATACAGGTGAGCCCGGGCCATGTGAGTGACATCCACGTTGGGTGAGGGCACTGCCTTGCCGACACTGACCTGCCCTTCCTCCCCCAGGACCAGCTTGGAGGTGCCTGAGATCAACGCCTTGCTGCTCGTTCCCAAGGTCTGAGCCCTTTGTGACAGTTCTTGACCCAAACCTTGACCTCTTACCTATTCCCTGTCCTGATCTGAGCTGACTTCCAGCCCCACCCTGCTCCCTCTGCAGGAAAATTCCCTCATCCTGGCTGGGGGAGACTGTCAGCTGCACACTATGGACCTAGAAACTGGGACCTTCACGGTGAGCGGAGTCCTGGAGCTGGGACAGATTTGGGCCAGGGGGAGGCACTCTTCCTGGGTCTCTCCTCACTCTGTCCCTCTCCCTCCAGCGGGCTCTCCGGGGTCACACAGACTACATCCATTGCCTGGCACTTCGAGAACGGAGTCCTGAGGTGCTGTCAGGCGGTGAAGATGGGGCTGTGCGGCTGTGGGGTAAGGTGGTGGCTGGCTGAAGGGCAGAGCGGTGGGAGGGAAGTGGGGTCAGTGGGGGTCATTGGGAACCGCATGGCTCTTTCCCAACAGACCTCCGCACAGCCAAGGAGGCACAGACAATTGAGGTTTATAAGCATGAGGTAAGGGGATGACCCGCACGCCTGTTCTCTTCCCCACCCTGTCTCTGCCTTCACCTCTCCCCTCCTCCCCCAAAGGAGTGCTCCAGACCGCACAATGGGCGCTGGATTGGATGCTTGGCAACTGATTCAGACTGGATGGTGAGCTGCAGAGTGCATTGGGGGGCTGGGGGAGGGCGGTGTTGCCAGGCCCTGTCAGCTGAAGAGTCAGGGCTCACAGTGGCTGGGAACCCTGCACCTTTCTGCCCAGGTCTGTGGAGGGGGCCCAGCCCTCACCCTCTGGCACCTTCGATCCTCCACACCCACTACCATCTTCCCCATTCGAGCACCACAGAAGCATGTCACCTTCTACCAGGACTTGGTGAGGCCCTCTGCCTTGCTTCTGCCCCTCCCGCCAGGTCCCCTGCCGGCCCCGAGCCCTGAGTGCCCTCCTTGTCCTCCACAGATCCTGTCGGCTGGCCAGGGCCATTGCATCAACCACTGGCAGCTGAGTGGGGAGCTCAAGGCCCAGGTGCCTGGCTCCTCCCCAGGGCTGCTCAGCCTCAGCCTCAACCAGCAACCAGCAGCACCCGAGTGCAAGGTGGGTCAGGCAAGGGGCTCTGGGGATCCCGGGGGCTCTAGGGAGTTGAGCAGGTCAGTCATGGCAGGCCTGCCCCCAGGTCCTGACTGCTGCAGGCAACAGCTGTCGTGTGGATGTCTTCACCAACCTGGGCTACCGTGCCTTCTCCCTGTCCTTCTGACACCTGGCCAGCGCCCCATCCAACACCTGACCAACCCCTAAACCCCATTTAGAGTGTCTTTTATTCTTATTTTTTTTACAATAAAGTTTCAAGCGTTTCCTCCTTGTGTTTTCTTCCCAAGAATGGAGACCAAGAGGCCATGTAGTGATTTATATATTACTCTGTCCAATTTTGATACATAAATACTCCCCCCTCCTCTGCCCTGGAGCGGGCCAGAGCAGGGGGGTTAGTTAGAGCAGACAGACTAGGGCTGGGGATATAGCTCAGTGGCATAAGCACCTGTCTGGCAAGCGCAAGTTCCTGAGTTCGATCCCTGGTACCGCCCCGCACCCCCCCCCCAAAAAAAAAGACAGACCTATTCAGATGCGAAGAATAGACAGCTCTGCCCTGCCACCGACCCTGGCCCCTGGCCCCTGGCCCCGGCCCCAAAGCTGGCCCTTGCCCCGGAAGAGCCCGGCCCAGCTTTGGGGGCGTGGGAGGGCACTGGTCCCGCGTGGAGATCCGGGCCTTGTAGCTCCATTGACCATTAGAGGAAAGTAAGTGCCACCGTGGGTTAGAATCCCCCCTCGGCGGCTGTCAGGTCCTTCGGAAGAGGTTACTGAGGAAGCTGCCGGCCGGCCCGGCGCCCAAGCGCATGGAGAAGCGAGTGGAGGCGCGGCTTGGGGCCGATGCTGCGGCGCTCAGCTCCTTCTGGCGTTGTGAGCGCAGCTGCTGCCCAATCACCACCTGCATGTCGTCCTGCGGGAGGCGGGGTCGGGGATGTGTCGCGGCCCTGGGTGCCCTGATCCCGCCCCTGAAGCCCGCCCCGCACCTCACCTGCCAGGCTTCCAGCTCCTGCGTTAGCGCCACCTTCTGGCGGATGGTGCGCAGCAGCTCGCGGGAGAGGGAGTCCCGCTCCAGAGAGACGCGGCCAAGCTCCAGGGACAGTTCTAGGGCCCTGAGGCAGGAGAGGCGGGTAATAGTCTGAGGACTCTGAGGACTCCTCGGTGGGTCGGGGCTTCCTTACACTGACACCAAGAACGTCAGAGGGTCCCCAGGTTGGGGTGGGAATAATTACATTATATCACAGATGGCAAAGCGCTATCGCTTTGGAGAGAGAGGAGAGAGAGGGGAGAGTGCCCTGAGCCCTATCGCTCCGCCTGGGAAAGTGGAGGAAGGTCACAGGCTCACTTGTTCACGGCTTCATCGCGGTCCGAGAGTGCGCTGCTCAGGGTCTCCTCTGAGTCTTCCTGTGCCCGTAGCTCCTTCTGCCTTTGCAGCTCCTCCCGCAGGGTCTGCAGCTCTGCCTGCTGCAGTGCAATCTGCGGGCAGGAGAAGGGGCAGCAAAGCAGGTGGGCCCCTGGACCTTCTATGCAGTTCTGACTCTGGCTTGCCCAGCTCTCACCTCCCTCCCCTGCCTGCTCCACAATCACTAGGCAGTTGTGGCCCTGTTCTGGAGATGAATCCTGAGCCCCCTGCTGATGCAGGGTGGAGTGAGGTAGGATTAATCAAAGCAGCTGTAAAAGCCTGCAGGAGGGTTACAGTTAGCATTGGTGGGAGTGGAATGAGGCGGTTTAGCCCAGGAAGGTTTGTTGTTGTTTTTTTGTTGTTGTTTTTTGGTACCAGGAATCAAACTTAGGACCTTACAGTTGGTGGGCAAGTGCTTGTGCCGCTGAGCTATATCCCCCACCCAAGCCCAGGAAGTCTTCCTGGAGGTAACCCCTGTCCTCCCACCCCCTGCCCCGACAGAACCAGGGCCTTTGCACTGAGCTACAGCGCCAGTTGTTTTTTGTTTTTGTTTTTTTTTTGAGACAGAGTCTTGTTAAATTGCTAAGTTTTCCAAACTGGACTTGAACTGCTAACCTTCCTGCCCCTGCCTTTCACAGTCCTGGAATTACATGCATGCAACAGCCAGGCTGCAAGTTCCTAGAGATGGTGGGAAATCCAGCTTTAGGGATGACGGGGCTCATGGGACAAAGGCTGGGAAGTGAAGATGGGAAAGAGAACAGGACAGCTGGTGGGGCGCTGCACCCAGCCCCTCCCCCACCTTATCCTGCAGCCTGGCTACTTCCGTCTCTTTCTCCTCCAGGATCTCCGCTGGGCTCAGGGGTGCTCGCTTCCTGGGGGGCTCCAAGCTATCCACCTGGGGTGAAGGCTGGAGGCTGGAAGCCTCTGGGGTCTCCGGGGACAGGGTGGTCTGTGGACCAAAGGATCGGTCAATGCCATGTGGGTTCTCGTGGTAAGAGGAGGAGGAGTGGAGTTCCACGCTGCTTGCTGATGGCACAGGTGGGGAGCCAGGAGCTGGGAGCTCACCTGGGTGTCTCTGCCTGCATTGGCATCCTGCTCCTGGTCTCGGTCACCGTCCAGGCTGTGGGCGAGCTCCGACTGCAGTGAGGCACTGGACACATTGGCATCCTGGAGGCGTGATTCTTCCTCCAGCTCTGAGACTCGCCGCTGCAGCCTTCGCAGCGCGCTCAGAGCCTCGCCAGCCTCAAAGCGCGCGCGTTCCAGCTGCAGAGTAGTTAGTTGAGCTCAGCGGCAGGCACCTGCACCCTGTGACAGACTTACGGGGGCGTCTGTGCGCCAGCACCCCAGCACCCCAGCCACCCAGCTCCCACGCATGCCCTGGATCACAGGGCCAGCTTGGGCCAGCGCTCTTCTGGGCTTTATAGTTTCTTTACCTATAAAGCAGGGCACGCCAGGCATCAACCTCCACCCCCCAGCCACACCCTATCAAGGTCACCTCGCACAAAGTGCGTCCTTTTTCCTGCTCAGCTACCTTCTAGCTCCACTAATTGCTGGGATCGTGCGTTTATTGATCCTTCTTTCTAAGCCTCATAGCCTCACTACAGCCATTACCATCCCATCTCACAGACAGGGAAACTGAGGCTGACCACCCCACAATAGTAAGGAAAGGATATTGGGATAAAAAGCCAGGCAATCTGTTCTCAGAGTACAAAGTTAGGTCTCAAACATTAGACTTTGCTCCCTTTTCTTGTCCTTTCTCCGTCTTCACTGCCCCGTACATGGTCCAGGCCAGGCATTTCCATTCTGAATTCCAGCCTTAGCCCCCTCCCTGGTCTCTCGGCTGCCTCTGATCTCTGATTCATTCTAAGAGTGAACTTCTGCTGCTCAACAGCCTTCTGTGACTCCCACTTGCCCTCAGGCTAATGCCTGTGCTCTTCGGGCACAGCTGCCAGGCTCCCAGTGACCCAGCTCTGGCCATACCTCCCAGAAATCCCTGAGGCCCTTGCCAAGGGCCCGGCTGATTGCCCACCCCTGCCAGCCCTAGGTCACCTCTAGGCTGTGCTCCCTCCTCTCCCTCCTCAGCAGCAGCAGCTCCTCGTGGGTGGTCTGTAGTCTGCCCTGGCTCTTGTCCACCTCCTCATTCAGGCCTCGAATCTGGACCTCCAGGTCATGCCGGCGGCTCTGCAGCATCTGGTTCTGGGGAAAAGCCATAGAGCTGGCAGGGGCAGCCCCAGATGCCCCAAGCCCAGCCTTTCTAGCTCAGACCAGCCAGCCTCAAATCCCCACCCTGCAAGACTCACCTCCCCCTGTAGACTCTCTAGCTGTGTCCTCAGCTCCGCTCCGGCCAGGGCCTGAGCCTGGCACTGGGCCCGAAGTGAATCCACTTCTCTCTGAAGCTCCTGCTCAGTCTGAGAGGCCTGGGTAAGGGCACAGGGAGTGGAATTCCCAGCTAGCTTTAGCCTCAACACCCAAACAAGGCACCTACCCCCAGTGGGAACGTTGTGCTGGCAGTCCCCACCTCTCCTGAGGCCAGGGCCACCTACCTGGGCCAGCTGCTGGCTGAGCCGGAGGTTCTGCTCACTGAGCTCGCCAAGGGCCCGAGCCCGCTCTCGCCCGCTGTCCTGTTGCTCTGAGAGCTGCTCCCCCAGCTGCGCCCGCAGAGCTGCCACGTCGCCCTCCAGCTCCACAGCCCTGGCCTCCCACTCTGCGCCCCGGGCTGCCAGGCCACGGCGGAGCTCATGGTTCTCCTGCTGCAGCCGCTGTGGGGACCACGCAGAGGGTCAGAAATGGCATGATGGGGCTGGGGATTTAGCTCAGCAGTACAGCGCCTGCCTAGCAAGCGCAAGGTCATGAGTTTGATTCCCAGTATCGGAAAAAAACAAAAACAAAAACAAAAAAGAAACAGGGCATGACTCAAGACAGCAGGACAGAGGGACTCCGACCCAAAGAGAGCGTGGTGGCAGCGGCGGTGGGGGGGCAGACCTGAAAGCAGGAGAAAAGCACATAAGGCAGCACAGGGAGGACCCCCAAGGATGAGTGAGAAGGCAGGCAGTGGAGGGGAGATTCCAGGCTGGGCAGCAGGCTGGCACAGGGCAGGGAGAGTAAGGCCTCCCTGATACCCACTTACCTCAACCTGCTGCCTGGACTCTTGGACCCGAGGTCGCAAGCGCCGTTTCTGGCGCCTGAGTCTGGCAGAGTTTAAGCCACGGCCCATGGCTTCACTCCCACACCTGTGGTGTCCTGGGGATCTGCAGGCTGAGTGTCTGCCCAGCCCCTCTCCCAGTTCCCTCTAATTAGCCCTGACCAGCCCTATCAGAGCTCCACCCTCTGCCTGCCTTTCCCCAAACCTGCCTGACCAGTGGGGGGACCCGTGCTTGGCATACTCAGGTGCCCATCTTAGGGAGGAAGCCAAGTCAAGGGCCACTCTTTCTAGGTTCTCAAAATAGGAAGGGCCCAGGGCAGGTGACAATAACCATAGTTACTACAATTACAGTACTGTATTAAGTAATCCCGCCATGTGCTCTACCTGCAGTATTTTCTTTAATCCACTAGAGGGACACTCTTTTACATTCTCAGATGGAAACAGGCTCAGAGAAGTTCAATGCCTTCTTGCCCAAGGACACACAGTAAATTAGTGGAGCAGGAAGGCCAGCGCTGGCAGCCAAACCCTTAACCAGTATGGCCCCAGGATTAAGCTGCCAGGTTTGAGGTCCGATTGTCCTGGCCGGTGCTCAGTTCTGTTGCTGTGTGACCTGGGCAGGTCCCTTTAATATCTCAAGTCCCATCCTTCCCTTCTTCCACTACTTCCTGAGCTCCTTCTGTTCTGGGGTCTATCATGGTTAAGCAAGACCATGAAGTTCATTGCCTCAGCAGCTTAGAGTCCAGAGGGTCATGGGAAAATTCTTGAATCCAGTAATTTCAGAGGAACACTGAGGGCTGTGAAGACACTGGGAAAGTGATAAGCGAGGAGAAGGTGGGTGGGCATCCCCCGTCAAGGAGCTGATGTTGGGATTGACTCCTGCAGGGCGGGAAGGAGACCACCAGGAAGAGGGCCACCTTAGTGCCTTAAGGAACAGCAATGCAAAGGCCCTATGGGTAGGAGTTTGAGTCAGCGTGGGGACTTTTAGGCTGTGGTGAGAAGTTTCAGTTTTATCCTAAGTGCGTTGGGGGGCTGGGGATTTAGCTCAAGGGGCAAAGCGCCTGCCTGGCAAGCGCAAGGTCGTGAGTTTGATTCCCGGTACCAGAGAAAAACCAAAAAAAAAAAAAAAAACTAAGTGCGTTGGGGAGCTGTGGGGAGATTCTGGGCTAAAAGTAAAATGATCTGATGGTCACTGGATGCCCGTAGGAACAGACTCCAGGAGCAGGAGGGGACACCAGGCAGAGGGGAGGGGGGCTGGCCCCAGGATAAAGGCTGCAGAGACCACCAGAAGCAGGTGAATTTGGTGTTGTTGTTTTTTGAGGCAGGTCTCACTTTGCAATTCAGGCTGGCCTTGAACTCACTATATAGCTGAGGCTGGCCTCCTGCCCCAGCCTCCTGATTGTGCCACCATGCCCAGCTAAGCAGGTGAATTTGGAAGCTGGTGTAGAGGATTCAACAGAGAGGAGACTGCTTGTGTATAGGGAATCAAATGCCACTGTGGTGAGACACCTAGTAGGTGGTCTGGTGGGGAGAGCTAGTGGCAGTCATTATCCAGGTCAACTAAGAGCAGAGATCTGGGCTGACAACATGGGTACATCAGGGTGTTTAGGAGTCCCAGCATGAGAGTACGGCTGACTACTGCCTGGGCAGAGGGAACCCTGCTTTGCAGGGTTGAGCAAGAATGCACCAAGATGATACATGGGAAGCACTTAGCCAGGTACAGGAGGGAGTGGCTCCCAGGACCTGTTGGATGGGGTCACACTATACTGCCGAGGAGCCAGGCCAAAGATCCAGAGAGGGTCACACAGTCCAGCAGAGGTCTGAACCTAGATCTTGACTTGTCCTTAAATTTTTTTTTTTTTTTTTTGGTGCGAGGGATCACACTCAAAGCCTGGCACATACTAGACAAATGCTCTTCCACTGAGCTATAGCTGCAGCCCAGAATTCTTATTCCGAAGCACTAGGCCACACTGGGCCAGGGAAACTGGGCCCAGCTCCAAGCTATTCCAGAGGCATCCCCTGCCCACTAGCTTGCCTGTGCTCCTCTTTCCTCTCCGTGTCTTGCTTCCTTTCTTTCCCTCATCACCCCAGCCCTCCTGCCCTCCGCCAGGCCCCAGGGGCCAGCTCACTTCCTCACGCTCAGTGTGCTGGGAGCTCAGTGTCTCCAGCTGCCGGCGAAGCTCCTCATTGCGCTCCAGAAGCATCTTGCCAAGTTCTGCAGCCAGCAACAGGTCCTTCTCCTTCTGCTGTAGCTGCAGGGCCAGGTCCTCTGGCTCCTCAGGCACCGGGCCCACTCCCAGGAATGAATCTCTCCGTTCCAGCACAAAGGGGAAGAAGCCTTCATCGCCGCTGGGGGAGGTGCCCCCAGAGAGCAGCTTCCCCAAGCTGGGCCCTTCCGGGGAGCTCATGGCTCCTGCAGCATCTGTGGGAAGAAGTTGCTACAGGCCCAAGGGCTTGCCCCCTGGTGGCCCACACCTGGTCATCCCAGTCCTGCAACCATGGCCTCCCTGAGACAAGAGGGGTTAATGATCTGTGTTTGGGCCACCCAACTCCGTTAATGTCCCCAGGGTAGACGGAGGCAGGGAGCAGTAGGAAATGAGACGCCTTGCTTCCACTTCTGCCCCCAGGACACTTTGGCCCCTTATGCTGGGACCACAGCCAGGCCTCTGGCAGTCCCTTGTCTGCCTCCCTGAGCTCAGCTCTTTTGCTCCCGCCTCTCACCATCTGGGCATCGATCGCCAGAACTCAGGCTGGCATGTACCTGGTGCTCAAGGATAAGTCCAGCTCCTTCTCCCAAGAATGTGGGCCACTCCTCCTTGGGAACTTAGGTGACCTCACCCCTTTGCCCCCAAGAATATAGCTTCTTCCCCTCCCAGAATCCCGATCCCCAGCCCCTCGCCCTTTCTTCTCCCAGATTTCCAGGGGTTTTGAACTTCAGACTTGAAGTTCCCATGGCTATTGTCCACTCCTTCTGGATTCCCGGCCCCATCCTCTCGTCTTTTCCCAGTCCCGGGCACGCCTGACCCTGCCAGTCGGGACTCAGAAGCTGTCACCTGAAGACCCTCGTTTCCCAGGGCCCTGGCAGCAGGCCCCGGTAGGGCGAGGTAACAGGTTGTGCCGGCCAGCGCACCGCCGCCACCGCTGCGAGTTTCTGTTTACTTCCCGACCCGCCCCTGGGACAGCCGTCCTGGGTCCCCAGGGCCGCCCAGGGCCGCGGGTACTGGGGGCACCACGCTCCGAGGAAGGCCCGGCCCGCGGGCACATAGGCCCTCGCCCCCCCCCCGGGGCCCCAGGGGGCGCGCGCACCTGTCCTGCTCCTCCCCTCCCATCGCAGTGGTCGCAGCTGGGCGCTGCGCAGAGCCGGGTGTGTCACTGGGGTGCCAGCGCCGCCGCCCCTGAGCCGCAGCCGGGGGTCTTCCGAACCCAGACGGCCGAAGCCTTCCTTCCTGTCCTGTCCTGTCCATGTCGCGGCTGCCCCGCGGTGCCAGGCGTCCGGCCCTGTCCCGGTTAACCCTCATCCTCCCCGCCAACAGTCCTGCCAAAGCAGGAGAGCCCTGCCCTCTGCGCCCCCAGGCTCTCACCCGCCGCGGCCGGGCTGCCTCCGAGGTCCCCGCGGTCCCCGATCCCCTCTTCCGGAGGCGGCGCCAGGTGTTCTGGCCGCACAGGTGAGGGGGCGGTGCCGCGGGAGGGGCCGGGGCGCCTCCTGGTGGCCCGAATGGCCAGGCGGGGTCAAAGGAAAGTCGCCTCCACCTTCTCAGAGGTACTAATTCATCTTGCTGCTGCTGCTACTGCTGTGGAAATTGACTGCGTTAATTGAGCACCTACTGGGTGTGATCTTACGTTGAGATAGAAAATCTTCCTTCCCCCTCAAGACTGCCCTGTGGATTTTTTTGTTGTTGTTGCGTTCTTAGGGGTTGAACCTTAGGGCTTTCATACTAAACTACATTCATTTGTGATTCATATTGAATACATACATTGTGGGGAGTTGGTACATAATACAGCACATCGCATATTAATCTATTTTACTTCCCTTTCCCCCTCCCTCCATTGCAGACCCTCTCCCCACCCCCAGAAGACCCACCCCTCTGTGACTTGTCATGTCTTTTATTTTGCTCTTTCAATTATTTATACTTTGGGTTTCTCATGTAAGAGAAACCACACGGTATTTAGCTTTCTGGTTTATTTCATTTACTCCAGCTCTTTTAAAAACTTTTTATTTATTTTGTTTTGTATTTTGTTTTTTGGGTTTTTTTTCCAGTACCGGAATCGAACTCACGACCTTGTGCTTGCCAGGCAGGCGCTGTGTCACTGAGCTAAATCTCCAGCCCCTATATATATATATATTGGTTTTTTGAGACAGGGCCTCACTATGCAGTTCAGACTGGCCTTGAGCTCACTTTGTAGCCGAGGCTAGCCTTGAACTCACAACGATCCTCCTGCCTCAGCCTCCCGAGTGCTGGGATTACAGGTGTGCACCACCATGCTTGGATAAAAATTTCATTTTAAGAAAGGGTCTCTCTCAGTTGCTAAGTTGGCTAGCAACTGAACTTGTGATTCACTTGCCTCGGCTTCCAAGAGTGCTGGGATTACTGGCATGTGCCACCATGCCTGCCTTGGGATAGGAAATTATTAACAATGAAAACGGCCAATCTAACATGCTATACCCTCTGCTAAATCAGCCCTTTCATGGGCATAACTTGTTTACTTTCATGACATTCCAATGAAGCAGAGATTACTAATACTCCATTTCACACATGAGCAAGTTGAGGCTCAGCAAGGTCACCTACCTTGCTTAGGGTCCTGTGGACAGAACTTGACTGTGGACAGCAGAAATGTGAATCCAGAGTCATGTCCTTTATGGATTTCCATGCTGCAGAGATTTACCCTGAAGCCCAGACAGCTAAGGTGACTCGCTAGCAGAAAGTAGGGAGTACCACTGCTTTGCAAAGGGAGCTAGAGACTATCAGAGCTGCATTACCTAGAAAGGCTGAAGGCACTCCAGCTTCCACTGCCACCTGACTCATTGGCAAACATAACTTTAGGGTGCCTTCCAAGTGCTAGAGTCACTCAGGCTTCACCACACTGTACTCAGCACATTTGCCCTGATCCCCTCCCACCAGGCAAATGATGTGGCTATGGCCTTTTTCCCAAGAGGCTCACAATTTACCTAGCACTAGGGCGGAGGTATAGACCTGCAAGCCAGGAACCCTATAAAACAATGAAGCAGAGGAGCTTAGTTCATGGGTGCTGGCATCATGTGGTTTTAGTCCAAATCCCAGTTTAGCCCCTTGCAGATATGTGTGCCTGTGTTGTTCAGCTAATTAATCTCTGCAGCCCTCAGTCTCCTCACCTGTAAAATGGGGATAACATTTCCTAGCTTCTAGAAATGTAAAGATTAATGAGGGTGAAATAGCACACTTGGTGCCGGCTGGTGATCTTTCTTAGGGTCACAGAAGTGACTCAACCACTTGTTTTTATCTCCTGAGGCATCCCTATGAGGTCACACCATTCATAGGGGAGAAAACCAGCTCAGAGAGGCAAAGCCATTTGTGTATGGGCACATGCAGACTCTCCATCCCACCTGGCCTGACTCTCAGCCCCCAGGGACTCTTTGGACATTTGAATCTGGTCCCTAGGCTTCTCTAGAACCAGGAGTCCTGGCCTCCAGCCTCCCTGCTGGACCTGAGTACTGGCCACCCCAAGAAGCCTCGAGGAAGCCTTGAAGAGGCTGATATATGTCCGGATAAGAAGGAGGGAATGCAGCCAGCCAGAATGGCGCAGCACAGCATCCATCCCACAACCTAGAGATTGAAGACAATTGATGTTTGTTTGTTTGTTTTTTGTGCCAAGGATGGAATCCAGGCCTCACACATGCTAGGCAAGTGCTCTACTACTATGCTACACAATAGTAGTCTCTGTCTCTGTCTTTCTCTCTCTCTCAGGTTGGCTAGGTTCTACTTGGTGGTTCTTGCTGCTGGGATTTCAGAAACTGCAGGCAAAGAGTAGCTGGGGCTGATGGGAGGTTTCTCCCCACTGTGTCTGCTGCCTGAGCTGGCTGGCTAGATCAGCGAGGGATGTGGGGAGGATTTGATGTCACCTCTCAGTGAGGGGAGGGGCCAAGGGTCTGAGGGCACTTTTGTCTGCCACAGAGCCTAGGTGCTTCAGCGTTATTCAACATCACCAAACTGGTTTCCCAAGAGCAGGTTTTCATTAGCTCCCTATAATAAGGAGTCTGACTCCATTTTTGATGTCTGATTGCTGACAGCTTTAAAGCTCTGTGCATCTCTCTTCCCTTTTGTCCACATCTGGACAGGCTAGATCTCTCTGTCTCTGCCCCTCCCCCCACCACAGAGAGAGGAGGGGGAGTTTAAATCTAGAAAGCCCTGGCCACTGGCCACTTTGGAGGAACCTTCACCCCAGCTTCATCCCCTCACAATAAAAGCCCTTTATCACTCAGGCCATTTTCTTTCTATTTTATTTTATTTTGTGGTTCTGGGGATTCAACCCAGTCTTTTTATTTTTTTGTTTTTTTTTTTTCCAGTACCGGGAATTGAACTCACGACCTTGTGCTTGCCAGGTAGGCGCTGTGCCGCTGAGCTAAATCTCCAGCCCCTCAACCCAGTCTTAACTACATCTTCATCCCTTTTTTTATTTTTGGTATTTTTGAGACAGGGTCTCATCTCAGTGTGTAACTCAGGCTGGTCTTAAACTCACTATGTAGCCCAGGCTGGCCTCAAACTCATAGCAATCCTCCTGCTTCAGCCTTCTTACAGGTATGTACCACTACACCCAGCTTCTTTTTTTATTTTCCATTTTGAGACAAAATCTCACTAAATTGCCTAGGCTGGGCTAGAACTTGTGATCCTCCTAACTTAACCTCCCATGGTACTGGAATTACAAGTGTGTACCACCATGCTTGGCTTCTCAGGTCATTTTCTTACCAGTGAGGAATCCTGCCCTGGTCCCCCTAGGAAGCTCATCACTAAATAATCAAACTATTCCTGCTTTTTTTTTTTTGAGACAGGATCTTGTTATGTAGCCCAGGCTGACCTTGAACTCATTGTGATCCTCCTACCTCAGCCTCCTGTGTGCTGGGATTACAGGTTTGTGACTGGCTTCGTGTTCTCTGCATGTGTGGGCTTTATCAGGGTTCAATCTCAACCAAATTCTGGGTGGTGAGGTGATCCCATCGTAGGACAACCACAAATTTTCATCCGAGCCACACCTACCAATACTCGGCATCTTCAGATTTTTTAATTTTGCGTATCTGATGACAAACATAGGATCTTTTATGGAAAGAATTGTGTTCCCTCAAAATCCTTTTCCTGAAGCACCTGAGAATGCGGCTATATTTAGACATAGTGCCTATCAATGGCTGATTAAGTTCAAGTGACTAGTGTCCTTCTAAGAAGAGGAGTGCACAAGAAAACTTTTCCAAGGGCCAGCAAGTGGTGACCCCCCTGAAGCCTAGGAGAGAGGCCTGAGAGGAAGCAGGCCTTTCGGGCTTCTTGACCTTGGACTTCCAGCTTCCAGGACTGTGGGAAAATAAATTTCTTTCTTTCTTTTTCTTTTTTTTTTTTTTTTCTTTTTCTTTTTTTTTTTTTTTTCGGTACCAGGAATTGAACTCACGACCTTGCACTTTCCAGGCAGGCGCTATGCCGCTGAGCTAAATCCCCAGCCCCGGAAAATAAATTTCTGTGTGAGCCACCCAGTCTGTGGCATTTTGTTACGGAAAACCTATCAGAGAAATACAGGCTTTCAATGTTTTAGTTTGTACCGCCCCTTGTTTATCCTGCTCATTTTTTTTAATCTAAAATGCAAATGAAGCTGTGCAAGGTGGCACTTGCTGTAATCCCTAAACTCTGGGAGGTTAAGGCAGAAGGGTGAGAATTTGAGCCCCGCCCGGGCAATTTATCGAGACCCTGTCTCAAGAAAAAAAAAGTTAAATGAGCGGAGGTGGGGTGGGGACGCAGCATAGGACGAAGGCCCTGGGGCGCTCTTTCTGCTCCCCCTATCGGCTGCTCCAGGAATTGAGTGGTTGGTCGAACTCACACCCTTCCCGCCCCTGGCCGAAAAGCGGATTCCTCGGATCTTTATTCACCTGCTCCGCCCGGTAGCAACCCCTTCGCCTGGGGTCTGGGCAAGCCAACACAACGGCGCATTGAGGAGGAGACGCGGGCGGCCACGTGGGTTTGGGGGATGATCCGGCAGAGCACAGCTGGCCGGCGGGACCCCGCGGGGAAGGGAAGCTTTCTTCCCAGCCTTTTGCTGCCCGGAAATCCCCCGGCGCTCAGACTGCCGGTGGCCTGGGGTCCTGACGAAGGATGGCGAGGGGGTGGAGGTGATGTAATGTGGGGGAGGGGAGGGGAGTTCGAGCAGCACTTCCCTCGGTTCGCGGGGTCGGACGAAAGTAGAGCCGGGCGAGCTGGCACCTGTAATCTCAGCACTCGGGAGGCTGAGGCATCCCTGAGCGTTCATCCCTGAGGCCAACCTGAACTACGTAGGAGGCCCTGTCAAAAATAAAAGTAGAAGTGAGCTCTGCTCCTAGAGTCACAGGCGGAGCTCCCCGGGAGCGTGAGTAGCGCGGATCGGGGAAGAGAAACTTGTGGGCAGGGTGGGCAGTGGTGGGAGGAGAGTCCCGTCCGCCGACCCCGCTTTGAAGCGCTCGGAGGAGGGTCCCTAGATCGAGGCCGGAGGCGGGGGCCACGACCTGGCCCGCCCCTTCGCAGGCTGAACGTCCCAAGATTGGGCCATCGGCCCCGCCGCGCCCTGCCCACCTGGCCCTAGGGTAGATGGAAGACAGGACCACGCCCAGGACCCCGGGCAGCGGCCGCAGCGGACCAGCGCCCTCTCAGCCCTCCTGGGACCCCCAACCCCACTGGGGCCCTGCGCGCGACTCCCGCCCCCTGGACCCTCAGCTGTCGCTGCCCGGTTCTATCCCCTCCCTCTAACGCGCTCTCTGGATCCGGGTCCCCTCCTGCCCACCCTTCCTACCCTGCGCCGGGTCCCCTGGCCCTCTCTGGGCCCCTCAGCTCCTCCCGCAGGTCCCCTCGGCGGCCGGGGTGAAGCCCTCTGCCCAGGCTGGAGAACGCCATGCAGCCGCGGGCACTCGGGCTCCTCCTGCCGCTGCTCCTGACGCTCCTGCGGTGTCTGGCGCGCGCCCCGAAGCCCTCGGCGCAGGACGTGAGCCTGGGCGTGGTGAGCTGGGGTCCTCGGACTCCTAGGATCCGCAGGGAGGCTGGGAGAGGGTGGTCGGGCGCCTGGATTTATGCGCCGGGAGGAGAGAGCGGGCCGGATCCACACTTTCAAAGAGTGACTGAAGACTGTGTCTGGGGGCGTCCCTACCGTTGGGTCTGTTGGGAGGTTTGGGCCGCAGATTTGGCGACTCTGGGAAGGAGCGGGGATAGACGGGGGCGGGGCTCCAACTCCCGGATCTAGACAGAGACCTGCAATCCTAGCGCTGGGGGTGGGGACCCTGAGGAAAGGGGAACAGGCCAGCATCCGGGGCTGGGGGGCTCGAGGCTCCGGAAGCTGGCGGGGTGGGGCTTTCAGGATGGTGGTGGGAAGGGAGAGCTCCGTCCTCTTACCCTCCCGGCGTCATCTGTACCTTCCCGATGGCTTAGGACTGGCTGACCCGTTATGGCTACCTGCCACCACCTCACCCCGCCCAGGCCCAGCTGCAGAGCCCTGCGAAGCTGCGGGATGCCATCAAAGTCATGCAGAGATTTGCTGGGCTGCCCGAAACAGGTCTCATGGGTAGGTACCCACCCCAGTTCTGGAGGCCTACACCTGTCCCCCACCTGACCATCCTCCAGCCTCTCTAAACTTCAGCGTGCACCCGAGTTACAGGAGCTATGAGGATGCTGATCTTGGGTCCCAGTTCCACGCTGCAGGCTCTCAGACGGTTGCCTTTCAACAGGCCTTTTTCAGGAATCTCTTACACACACAGCCATGGGAAAAGTAGATAAAATCCTGGCTCCCACAGAACTAATATCCTGGGGCAAGAGACATGTAAATCGAGAACATAAATATGCAAGATGATTTCAGATAGTGCAGTGTATGCATGTGTTTGTTTTGAGATGAGGGGACCGAACTCAGGTCTCATGCCTGCTAGGCAAGCCGTTTACTGCGGAGCTGCATCCGCAGACTAAAGGTGAAGAAATAAAATGCCAGTGATAGTGAGGGGCTGGTCTGATTAGAGGAGGCCTTTCTGAAAAATGTCATATGGGCTAAGACCACCAAGAGGAGCCAGCCATGGGAAAATGAGGGAGAAAGTGTCCCAGGAGTTGCAAAGGCCCCACGGCAAGTATAAGTTCCTGTGCCGAGAGTGAAAGGGGAGTGAAGGTCTTAGGTAAGAGCCCGCTTGCGGGGGGAGGGGTTTCGGAGGTGTTGCGTTGGATTCCCAGTGCGATAAGAAACCCAGGGAGGTTTGAAGAAGGGAAACAACTCTGTGTGATTTACTGTGTCAGGCTTCCTGTGGTTACTGCAAGAGAGAGGGGAATGGAGAAGGAGGAGGAGGCCTTTGTCCCAGTCAGGCAAGGGATGATGGTGGCGGGGTGAGGTGTGACCAGAAGCAGCTGAACTGAGGGTGTGCATCTGTAGGGTCAGAGAGGGAGAGAGAGCTTGAAGGACCCTGGCTTACTACCCAGAAGGTGTTTTTTCTGTCCTGTCCACTCCTGGAACAGCTTTGAACTGTGTCTGGGCATCTATATGTTCTCCATTACTATTTGTCACCTCAACTCCAGATGTGGTTTGACTTTAACCGGGGGACAAGTGGGAATGAGCTGAGGTGGACAAGGGGATTCCAGGTGGACCTAACGGAGGAGGGGGTGGCTTGCCACAGGGGACTGGGGACTCCTGCTGGGGACTTTGGACTTGGTCAGCGTGCCATGAGCACTTAGAGTGAGGGGATGAGGCATGGACAGCCTCCCAGGGAGTTCCAGCTCCAAAGAAAGGAAGCTCCTTTCTCCTGAGTCCACCTTCCAGGGCTCAGGAAAAGAGGACATGGGGCCAAGCCTGAGCCTTGGAGTAGCCCCTGGAGCAGCCAGTACACCCAGGTCAGATAGAAAGGGCACTGTCCACTAGGGGCTGTGGTCATAGTGTGGTACAAGCTGGCTTCCAGAGTCAGACAGTCTGAATTCAGATCTTGGGCAATTCCTTAACCTCTCTGAGCCTCAATTTCCCTGTGTAAAAAAGTTAACTAGTGGGCCTGGGATATAGCTCAGCAGGCACGGTGCCTAGCTGGCAAGTACAAGGTTGTGAGTTTGATTCCTGGTACTAAAAAAAAAAAAAGAAAGAAAGAAAAAAAAAAAAGCTGGGCGTGATGCAGCGCACTTGTAATCCCAGCACTCGGGAGGCTGAGGCAGGAGGATCGCTGTGAGTTTGAGACCAGCCTGGGCTACAAAGTGAGCTCAAGGCCAGCCTGAACTGCATAGTGAGACCCTCTCTCAAAAAGACAAAAAAAAAGTTAACTAGTACCTGATTTGGGCAGGCTTTCCTAGTGCTGACACCACCTTCCCCCATGCCCCACTTCCTGCAGACCCAGTGACAATCGCCACCATGCATAAACCCCGCTGCTCCCTGCCTGATGTGCTTGGTCCGGCAGGCCTTGTCAGACGTCGCAGGCGCTATGCTCTGGGTGGCAGTGTGTGGAAGAAGCGCACTCTGACGTGGAGGTAGGTCGTGGTGCTCCCCTGCCTGGGCCTACCGGCTGGGTAAAGCCTCCTGGGCACCCTCTCCTTCCACAGCCACCTGCTCCCTCTCTGCCCAGGGTCCAGTCCTTCCCCCAGAGCTCACAGCTGAGCCGGGAGACTGTGCGAACCCTTGTGAGCTACGCCCTGACTGCCTGGGCCATCGAGTCAGACCTCGCGTTCCAAGAGGTGTCCTCTCAGCACCAGGAGCCTGACATCCTCATCAACTTCGCCCGGGGCTACCACCAAGACAGTTACCCCTTTGATGGGCTGGGCGGCACTTTAGCCCATGCCTTTTTCCCCGGGGAGCACCCCATCTCTGGGGACACTCACTTCGATGATGAGGAGATCTGGACATTTGGGTCAAAAGGTAAAGTGTCTCATATTTGGGACAGGTCCACTCCCCAGATATGTCTATCCTAATGAATGAGTTTTAAATTAATTGGTCGATGGAGCCTGAATCAGTCCGGTGTCTCCAGAGAAACAGAGCAATAGCAAGTGTGTGTGCACTGTGGGTGTGCAAGGAGAATTGCCTTAAGGGCCAGAGATATAGCTCAGTGGCATAAGCACTTGCCTGGCAAGCCTGAGGTCATGAGTTCAATTCCTGCTATGGGGGGAGGAAAGTTTTGCCGGGAGTGGTGGCGCATGCCTGTAATCCCAGAACTCGAGAGGCTGAGGCAGGAGGATTGTTGTGAGTTTGAGACCACCTTGGGCTACAACATTAGCTCAAGGCCAGCCTGAGCTGCATATTGAGACCCTGTCTTAAAAAGACAAAAAGGGCTGGGGATATAGCTCAGTGGCACAAGAGTCTGCCTGGCATGCACAAGGTCGTGAGTTTGATTGCCAGTACTGCCAAAAAAAAAAAAAGAGTTGTCTTAAGGAATGCCTTCATAGGGATGACTTGGGCCAGAAAGGCTAAAACTAGTAGGGCAGATGGGAAACTCAGGCAGGAGCTCTGTTACAGTCTTAGGGCAGAATTCCTTCCCTCCTAGAACCTTCTGTTTTGGCTGTTACATCCTGACCCAACTGGACATGGCTCACTTACAAAGATACTTGCTTTGTCTTAGTCGTATCTCCAAAACACCTTCCAGGCAATATCTGGACTGGTGTTTGATCAAACCACTGGGCACCATGGCGTGGCCAAATTGATATGTAAAATCAATCATGACTGAGGCCTATTGGTGCCCGGCTCTGACAAGCACGAGGGGAGCTGGGCTGGCTCAGAGCCAAAACAGTTTCTTCGTCCTGTAACTAAGGAGGAAGAGTAACCCGCAATTACTACACACATGGTGACACAGCTGCTGAGATCTCAGCAGAGGAAGTCCTGCAGCTGCAAGGGCTCAGAGGAGGTGTCGGCCCAAAACCCTAGGGTGCAGGGAGATGTCGTCAGAGACCACACCATGACTCCATTCACTCAATATATACTCTCACTTATTGGCAAGCAGTGCAGGCTAGAGGACACCGTCCTGTTCTTCTGGAGCAGACACTGGGGGAGACAAACAAGCCACTCACAAGCCAGTGAGCTACCCAAGTGCCAAGTCATCAGGGGCAGGAGGAACCACCAAAGGGCCTGTATGTCTGAGACATTTTTGCTGGAAGGCTAAAATACGGTATTGGGAGGGAGCTCATACAGGATGGCACTTCCCACGTCACAAAGGATCTTATTTTTTGTTATGTTTTATTTTGCTTTTGAGACAGTATCTTGCTGTACAGTTCAGGCTGGTCTTGAAGTCACTATGTAGCCCAGGCTGGCCTCACTTGCAGTGATTCTCCTGCCTCACCCTCCTGAGTGCTGGGATTACAGGTGTGTGCCACCATGCCTGGCATCAGAAAGGATCTTGGAAAGCGAGTACAGTGATTTGGTTTTTTTGTTTTGCTTTTTGTTTTTTCTTCCGGTACCAGGAATTGAACTCACGACCTTGCGCTTGCCAGGTAGGCGGTTTGCCACTGAGCTAAATCCCCAGCAAGTGCAAGGATTTGAATGTAGGGTTCTGAAGGCAGTGGGAAGCCATCAGATGGCTTTGCATTCTAAAAATATCCCTGGATCCAGTGGGGGAGGTGGATAGTGGTCAGGAGGCAGGAGTTACTACCTGGTTCAGGTACCGGACCAGGTGGGCAATGATGGAGGGGATAGATGTGAGGGAAATCAATTAGGATGGCCAAAGATTGGGGTCTGGTTAGATTCAGGACCAAGGATGCCCAGGGTAAGATGAAGAAGGTAAGAGGATATCAGGGTCTAGCTCAGGACCTGGAGGTTGCTTCTATTGGTGTGCACAAGAGGGGAAGAGAGCTGGGCATGGTGGTGCACGCCTGTAATTCCAGGACTCGGGAGGCTGAGACAGGAGGGTCATTGTGAGTTTGAGACCAGCCTGGGCAACAAAGTGAGCTCAAAGCTAGCCTGAACTGCGTA